TTAGATTACAGATAAAGGATTGAGAAAGGTAGCATTTATTTGGAAAAACATATTGCATCTTTTTTTTTGGGAAAAATTAGACAATACCTCATTGTTGGTTGGAAATAACCATTAGTTGGAAAAATAACCAATTAGTGAATTAGAATTAGTTAATATTAAAGTCAATTAGTGAAATAATATATGATGTTACTCAGTATAAATTGTTTGGCCTTAATATTGTTTGGCATAAACAGTATATAAAGAATGCAATTAAGTTGTTTTTTTTGTAATAGTTTACGATAGTTATTTCATCTTTGCTTGCTCTAGGAGTTGGTTTATATGTTTCATATGTTTGAGAGAGGTTACAGGGTCTGGAATGTGAAATTTAGTTGTGAATATGTTTTTTTCCCCCAGCCAGTGTAAGTATTTGCAAAAAGAAATGTATGCTTAATCAGATTAGAGGAACAAAAGAATACTATATTAATCTGTTGAGACTAGGGTAGATTGGAAATATGTAATCTCTGATTGTTGCTGTTTCCCTCCGTTCCCTATTAAGTGTCGTTTTTAGCTTTACAAAATGTGTCTTGATTTTAGGTAGAACACATTAAAAATATTAAAATAAACTTGATTATTTAATGATGTGATAAGAGAGAGATAATACTAATAGATGAAGTAATAAGGTTAAAACAAGAAAATATTGTTAAATATTGTTTTTACAATATATATAGGTGGTATATATTGTTTATACAGGAAATCAATATATTACTATAATTATAATCGTGGCATTTTTTATGTTGTTTACTAAATAGGATCACAATTGTTAATGGCGAACACGAGTGAGAAACAAGTAATAGTTTTCGCGGTGTATGAATTAGTCGAACAAATGCAAGTACTGTTAACAATGCTTAGTAGGATCATCCATTTGCTTCTACGTCGCCGCCGGGTCAATAATATTGTCGGTTCATCGTATAGTATGAGGGGTAAGATACCTGCTCAAGTCCGAAATTTGACTTACATAATTGGAAATCCGACAATGGGTTCCGGAACGGTTACTTAGGTGTGTTGGAACAACACATGGCTCTAAAATTTCCCGGGACCGACATTAAGGCGGATCCTATGATTTTATCAAAGCTTCACGTTTGGAAAAAACAATATGGCTCGCTTTCCCAAATGCTTTCAACGTCGGGATTTTGTTCGAATGAGTCGGCGAACACCATTGATGTAATCGACGATCAAGTGTGGAACAATTATGTTAAGGTGAATTTCTACCGGTTACTATACATTAACGTAATTGAAACCCATAATGCGAACCAATTTAATGCACCTCCTCCATTTTCATTTATTTTGTAGTTCGATTCAAATGCCCGGTTGATGCGCTATAAATCATGGCTATATTTCAAAGATTGGACAATCATCTTTGGAAAAGATCGGGCTACGGGGGAAAGTGCCGAGGCTCTCGCCGATGCGATCAACGATATATCGAAACAAGATAAAGAAGCGGGCGACGATTCAATGGGTGGAGACCACATACCGCAACCTGCCATGCACTCCAACGAGAATGACTCGGAGAACATGTCCTCATTGCACGGTGAAGGTTACATGTCTAACATGCAAGGTGAAGGGACTTCAACCTCACATCAAAGTAGGGGTAAAAAGAAAGGCAACAAGCGTTCCCGAAACGATGACCTCGATGGCCGTATCGTGGATATGATGGCGGATATGACTAGGACTTTTGCGGAGACTAAAACATGCCTAGGCGAGTTGGCCCACCGTATCGGTTTTGAGCACGATGCGTCAACTACACATGTAAGAAGGTGTTGGATGCCCTATCGCCGTTATGTTTAGGTGTCGAGGATAAGATTACTGTCGCTAAAGCCGTTTGCAATAGCCCAACCGATCTCGACATCTTTTTTGGATTAAATGAAACCGAAAAGGGGGTTATGGTTCGAATGATCCTCGAAGGGCGCTACTTCGGTTAGCTAGAATATCATCCACTCACAAGGTGAAGAAACTTTTTCCCGTATTCGGACCCTATCTTGCGGCGTTATTTGCATTGAAGACATTTCTGTTAGTTTTTCCGTATGA